TCCTTCCTTCCTCCTGCGACCCTGTCCTTGACGCTCACGATAATAAATGGTCGTGTCATAGTGAGTCTTTACAGTGCATGTGGTGGATTGACCTGCCGCGTCTGTGAGTGTGCCTCGGAGGGGTCAAGATGATCTCCAGTGTACTGCTATTTCTCTCTCGTACAGGTATTGAGTTGTTGCGTTGGGTTCTCTTTTTGTTGCTTTGAATTATTTTTAATGAGTTTGTGAGGTGTGAGTGCCCATCTACTGCCGTAAACTTCGGTAACGATCAGATATGGAAGAGAAACTTGGCAGGGCCTCCTAAGAATTGATGCAAGCGCACAGGCGTGTGTCCTTACCTTGAACCCGACCAAGATGGATTTGTGTGTGTGTGTGTGTGTGTGTGTGTGTGTGTGTGTGTGTGTGTACATGTGCTACCCACTCAAACGCAACCACACACACACACACATGCACACGCACACGCACACACATGCACACACACACTACCCATGCACACTTCCATGCATCCAGCTCCGCTGCAGGCACTGACTTGCAGATGTCTGTGTCCCACTGGAGCGTGTTGACGTTCATGAGCATGGTGCGGCTGGCGTTGGTCACGTCCGTCACATGCACGCCGCCGCGCAGCCCGCCTGGTCCAACATGGTGTTGACGTCGCGTCAAGGTGTTGCGTGGGTGATGGATGTGGGTGATGAGCGAATCCATGTCAAGCGCGGGGGTGAGAGGTACAACACGCAGGAATGCACGTGCGTGTGGCGATGTTGATGATACCTGTAAGGTTCCAGATGAGCCAGGAATCGATGGTGCCGCACATGCAGCGGCCTGTATAAGACACACACACGCACATGTACATGCACACACACACACACATGTACATGCACACACACACACACACATACAGACACATGTAGAAGCACACACACATGTACACGCACACACGCGAACAAACAAATAATTAATGATTCACAAGGTCATCTAACGCTTCCAGTGCAACAGACTCACGATACGTGGAATTATCCAGCAAGTACACACGAAATGCAGATGCACACGCATGCACACGCATGCACCGCCGCGAATTATAGCTGCGTACCTGCAGCTACCTCCTCCCTGACAAGAGGGATGTTGTCAAGCATCCAGCGAAGTTTCAGCGCACTAAAATATGTGGAGAAGGGAAGGCCGCACTTTTTCTGCGCACGCGGTTGCATGACATCATGAACGGACACGAAACATGACACGGAACATGACACGGGAGGGTGTGGGAGGTGGCGAAGAGAAGCAAACAAAACGTAATTGCAGGCAGGCCTACAGGGTTTGATTTGATCAAACCCACCACTGCAGTTGCGTTGGTCTGACGTGCACGCATGCACACGCACGCACGCGCACGCACACGCTGTCTCACTCGCACTCGCGCTTTTGTTTGTCACTCGACACCCACTCCACCTCCCCAATCACACACACACACACATGCACACACACACACACACACATACACGCACCTGGAAGTAGTTCATGTCCTGTGTTGGCGTGTCGTTGATGAGGCGCTCCACGGTTGGTGCCGTTCGCGTGTCCTGCCAGACTAACCAACGTCAAGCAGCACCGGGATGGGGGGGGGGCGGTGTGAGGCAAGTCGTGGCTGCTGACATGACGCGACACATGCGCACGCAAACTCGATACATGCACAAGCATAACCATGCACACACACTTGACACATGCACACACAGTTGCACACACGTGCACACACTCAAGCATGGCATACCGATGGCGTTGTGCAAAGGTTGACCAGTGCCTTTGTCCCAGACCACGGTGGTTTCACGCTGGTTGGTGATGCCAATCACTTTGGGAAAATTGTGTATGTGTGGGGGGGGGGGTCGGATGCACGGTGTCACCAAGTGCTCACACGCACACACACACACACACACACACACACACACACACACACACACACACACGCACACACACACACACACACACACACACACACACACACACACAAATGCACACACACACACACACACAAATGCACACACACACACACAAATGCACACACACACAAATGCACACACACACACACACACACAAGAGAATATCATGCACTCACCCTTGATGGATGACGGCTCATACCCTTTGCCCTTGAGCACGTCACAGACTTTGTTGATACACGTGTGCACCTGCTCCAAGATCTCCAGCGGGTCTTGTTCCATCCATCTGCGGTGTGCCAATAAGCCAGCGTTTGCGTTGTTGAGTGGTCAGGGCAAAGACGCACGCATGCCAAAGGGGCACGCGACCACCCACTGCACCACGAGAACCACAAGCACCACAAGCACCACAAGTACCCCGTGCACTGACCCTGAAGCGGGGTAGTGGGCGTCCAACTCAATCTGGTGGCTGGCAATGCACTCCCCATCCTCGTTCCACACCTGAAGCGAGCGTGGTTTAGGTCATGTTCACAGTGGGGTTGCAAGGGATCAGCAAACAGCACGAATGGCAGCAAACAGAACGAATGGCAGCAAACAGAACGAATGGCAGCAAACAGCAAATAGCATCACTGACAACCACACACAAGACACACACACACAACACACACAACACACACTCAACACACAACACAATATACTCAAACTCGCACGCTACACACGTGCACAAGTACCGAGCATCGTGTGCTGGATGTGCCCTGGTCGATTGCCGCTACCAAGCGTGGCGCATCTCCTCCCCCAGCATCCCCTCCACTATCTTCACTGCCGCTTGTGTGCTGCGTCTGCGTCTTCTTCCTCCCCATTGTTGCTGTTGCTGCTGTTGTTGTCTTCTTTGCTTCTTCTGGCTTCTTGCTTGCTGCACTGGCTTCTTTGCTGATTGCACAATTGCTGAGTCAGCAGAAACCACAAATGGATGATGACTCATCTGCAAGAAGGACAGCAAGCAAGCAAGCATCACCACGCCTTGCGCGATGCAAGCCAAGCGATGATGTGACACCACGCCAAAGGTGATGACACAGCAAAGGCACAGCAACCACGCTTGTTGCTGCTATTCCTGATGACAACACAGTCATCGACCTCTCTTGGTGCCATTTTACATCTCCTCCCCCCTGGTTCGAAGAAAAACTGAAGCAAGGATACTTCGTCTCCCCGTCTTCGCCTCCCCCCCCTCATCCCATACGAACAAACACAACCACAGGCGGCCGATAGGCAACAACCCCGAGCGACAGGCAACGTGCGTACCCACACAGCTTCCGGGGCAACCACACGCGATACGAAGAACTACAAGGGGAACAACAACACGAAGAAGTAATCAAGGCGAAAGCCAACCAGCCAAACACCTGTTCGAAATGGACGACATTCTCCCGCCACCGCCACCACCTCCAACCCCTCCACCACCGCCAGAACAACACATCAACTACAACGACCACGCCGACAACAACAACAACATCGACTACGACGACGACGACGACAACAGCACCAACAACTGCGACGACAACACCGACAACACCACCGACGATATGCAAGCGTCTGACCTGCCACCGCCGCCACCGGCGATGATGGACGAGGATGCGGCGAACGAGCAGCGTGATTCGTTGCGCGCTGTGTTCATGGCGTACTCCAAGGCCATTCCGTGCAGCAGCACAACCAGCGGCGACGCGCCCCAGCGGAAGCGCGTGCGCCGCCACATGACCGGCTGGCACTTCATCAAGGCGTGCCGCGATGCCAAGGTGCTCAAACGGACAGGCCTGTCCCGCATTGACTGCGACATCGCCTTCAGCAAGTTCAAGAACTCGCACAACGCACTCACCTTCAAGCAGTTTGCAAACGCGCTCGCTGCCCTGAACGAGCGCCCAAACTGCACGTGTGATGTCGTGCAGCGCGTCGCGTCCTTTGCGCAGTCGTTGTCGCCCTCCTCACCCTCCTCATCCTCGTCGTCGTCGTCGCCAGAGATGAAACAGAAGACGAAGAAGCGCCATGGCAGCAGCAGCAGCAGCAGCAGCAGCAGCCGTCGCAGCCGCCGCCCATCCACAGCGCCATCCACCGCGTCCGCCCCGCGCACGACGGTTGTCTCGGACTACGACGACGAGCTGCCGCCGCTGTTCCGGCGGTTGACGGACCCTCGACTGTACACGGGCTCGCACAAGCACCGCTTTGATGAGCAGGGTGCGGGCAAGGGCCTGTATGGGCGGGACAGCATTCCAAAGGGGAAAGGCATCCCCGTGTCGACGTGTCTGGGCTTTGAAACGGCGCTTCGCACCGCCAGCGACGTGCGTGGTGTTCCCCTCGCCACCCTGACGGCGTCGTCACGCTGAACTCGGCTTGAACATCACACCCAGGCTGCCTGTGCAGCCTTGTTTGACTGGGTGTGTGTGGGTGTGTGTGGGTGTGGGTGGGTGCGAATGGTATCTGTGCCTCCTTGCTTGCTTGCTTGCTTGCCTAAGCCCTTGCTTGCCATCACCCATCACCCACCATTCCGTTCACTCTATTCTGTCTACTTGTGTTCATTCTGCTCCGCTTTTCTCTGCTCTGTGTGGACTGTATCCTACCGATCATGTGTACAAACAAACAAGCCCGCCCTTTCATGCCCTGGTTCAAAGCGCACATGTACATCTGTGACCACCGCTGACCTTGTCTGTATGCAACACACCCATTCTCTTCTTTTGTATGCAGCACATTCATTCTTCTTGTGTTACATTACATGTGCCTCTTCTTTCTTTCTTTCTTTCTTTCTTTCTTTCTTTCTTTGCACGCTTGCATGGTTGGGCGCGTTTACGTTCGTTGCTTCCATATTGTGTGCGTGCACACGGCGGCAAACCAAAGAGTACACAGTTGTTTGTAACAATGCAACAGCAAGGGTACAAAGGCAGTCAGCCAGGGGGGAGGATGACCAGGATGATGCGGTGAGATGAAAGGTGCAGGAAGGGCAAAGACGTGCAAACACCTGCGCTGGAACAACTAAGACTGCACACAAAGTCACCAGCAGAGCCAGTGCACATGCATCATTTGTTCTTTGGGGTGCTGGTGGCGGATGGCTTGGCCGGCCGCTTGACAATGCCAGGTAAGATGCGCGACCACATCTTGAGCGCCATGTACTTGAAGAAGTGGTGCTGCCCAAATATGGTGCCCACAACAAGCAGGATAACCGTGTAGATGGGTGTCACAAACGCGAGGGACGCCAAACGGAACGACCACGGGCCCTCCGTCCAGGAGCCTTGTCAGATGCGCACGTGTATGTGCGTGCGTGTATGCGTGCATGCGTGTGTGTATGCGTGTGTATGTGTGTGTATGTATGCGTGCGTACGTGTGTATGTGTGTGTGTGTATGTGTGTGTGAGCAAGGTGTCACGGTGATGGCCAAAAGCGGGCGTTCGTGGTTGCGGCAGTAACTCGCATGGCAAAAGGAAAGCAAACGGGTGGACACGCACACACACACGCGCGCCCATGCACACCCACGCACACATGTACATCCAAACACACACATGTACATCCAAACACACACACACACACACACACACACGCACACACCTTGAATGCCAAAGAGGGTGTCGAGGAGCGGGGTAGCAAACTTGACGGAGGACGAGCCGGTGATGCCAAAGACAATGAAGCGGATCATCCACACGAACCACCACTTGCCACTGAACCGTGCCGGCTCTGGCTGCTCAGCCATCCATGAGCGAAGCATCGTGCCTACTTTGGTGCCTCTGATGAGAGTGCAATGTGAGCGCACGTGTTAGTGTGAGTGGGTGAGGGTGTGTGCGTGTGTGTGTGTGTGTGTGTGTGTGTGCTCACGCGCTCAACGCCTCGCACACGCACACACACAGGCAGATAGATGAGACAGACAGACAAACACACACACACACACAGAGGCAGACACAGTCACACACACAGACACACACACACACAGACACACATGCAGGCACACATACACACATACACACATGCAGGCACACACACATACAGACACACACACACACATGAGCGTACTGTTGTTGAAGGTGAGGTCGAGTGGAGTGAAGTTGGCGAAGGAAAGGAGAGAACGGCGTGTGGCGATTGCGTGCTGCCAAAGCAAAGACCCGCTGTCTTGCTGTTGCAGCGACTGCTGTTGCTGTTCTTGCCGTGCAGGCGAGTCGAGATGCCACGATCAACCGCGGTGTGGATGTAGCAGTTGCAGTTGATAGCGTGGGCGATGTTGGTAGCAGCGAGGCTGTCGTGAGCCTGAAAGCAGCACGAGCACCAGTACCACCAACGGCAGCGGCGACAGCAGGGACGCGATGACCAATGCGGAGCAGCCGCAACCCGCTCACAGCACTCAGCATCCAGCAGCCACCCACCACACCAAGGCAAGCAAGCGAGTGAGCAACAAGCGAAAGCGAGCGAGGAGCGAGCAACAATAAGCCGAAGCAGTGATTTTGGAGCAAGCGCAACGAAAGGGAGGAAGAAGGACAGCAAGCACGATTATGGCGACCACAGCCAAAGGGTTTCAGCAGGTGTGCACTGCTGTGGCACGAAGGAAGTACTTTGGAGATGACATTGCAGACAGCGACATCCACGAAGCCGTTGCCCCAGACGTCACAGCAGATGGTAGGTGTATGTATATTTTGTGTGTGTGTGTGTGTGTGTGTGTGTGTGTGTGTGTGTGTGTGTGTGTGTGTGTGTGTGTGTGTGTGTGTGCGTGTGTGTGCGTGTGTGTGTGTGTGTGTGTGTGCGTGTGTGTGCGTGTGTGTGCGGGGGAGGGGGGCAGGGATTGTGTGTCGTTTGCGTTTGCGTGGTGTGTTGCTGCTCTTCCTTTGTGCGTTGCCACCCCTCACAGCCATGTATCTGTGCGTATTCACTCGCGTCTCGTCGTGAACCGCTTCCAACCCCCTCATGTCCTTCTCTCTCCAAGTGTTCGCGCAAACGGTGACACTGGCGTCAAACCTGATCGACGATGCCGTCAACGCCAGCCTCGAGCTTTCCCAGGTATTGTTGCACCCGACGCGCACATGTTGTCACAGTGTCAAGACGCTGCCCTACGCTGGCGTGGCACTTGTTATGCTGTTTGATTTCCCCTCTCGTTCCTCACACACTCCTTTACACTAACGCTCTTCCTCGCGCACATCACCACCCTTTTGCGACCATCAGCTGGCGGAGTGTCTGGAAGACAAAGGCCTGGTATGGGCTGTGTGCGTGCGCGCGCGCGCGTGTGTGTGTGTTTGTTTGTTTATTTGTGCGCGCGCGCGCGCGTGTGTGTGTGTTTGCTTGTTTGTTGATTCGTCGTTTGCACGCTTCCGAGTGCCAATGGGCTCATGCCAACACACATTCATGCGGTTGCACGTCGCTGTCAGACGCTCTCTGAGGAACAACAGGCCGGCTTTGGCAAGTTCTGGAAGTCGTACAAGCCCAAAATCAACCATGCCCTTGCACAGGCATCTGCATGGAACACACAACTTCAAGGTGCGCCCGTTTGCTTGTCAGTGTATGATACACATCTCCTTCCTAGTGTGTGTGTGTGTATGTGTGTGTGTGTGTGTTTGTTTGTTTGTGGACACGTTGTATGTCTTGTGCGAACACCCGCACAGGTGCACACATACTCCCCACTGAACCCATGCGCTGCTCATTGGCACAACAACCAAACCGCACCCTGGGCTTTGTGGTGCATGATGTCTTCTGTTTACTGTAACGAACATCACTGTCAAACCAAACCAGACATCAACTGGAGGGTGGACGTGACTACGCAGACAGCGGCCCAGGACGAGGTCAACGAGCCCACAGCCGTCCTCGAATTCGTCTTGAATGACGGGGTACGACACCCAACACACACACACGCACACACACACACATATACACAGTGGCGTCATCGCGTCACCGCTCACATCTGTCACATGTGCACCATGCCACGTCTACCTGAGCAGGAGCACGTGCACGTTGAGGCTGACAAAGCCGGCGTGGACAAACTCAAGATAGAGCTCTCCCGTATTGCAGCAGCACTCGAGCAAGCGCAGGCCTCGTAGTCGTGCCTCCGTGTGTGTGTGTGTGTGTGTGTGTGTGTGTGTGTGTGTGTGTGTGTGTGTGTGTGTGTGTGTGTGTGTTCATGAGTTGCGCAGGAGACATTAGAGAGGGAGACTGCACCCGTCCTTTGTGCAGCCACTTGTTCGTCGTTGATGCCATTGGTGTGGGTGTTCTTGTGTATTGATTTGACTTCATTGCAACAACACGCATACTGAAACCGGTCACATAACCACCACCAAGCCAACCACCGCCCTAATCACCAAGGAAAACACACACACACACACACACACACACACACACACACACACACACACTGCCGCGGGTGCAATGGCGCTGTGCCCTGCATTAGTGCCCGCCGCGAATGTTCTCTACATGCTGCACCCTGTTCTGCAGCTCGTCTGGTGAACACACACACACACACCAAGGCGTGGCATGTGCACATGACACGTGTGAGAAACGCGTTGCAGGTGATTGTGTGTGCGCGTGTGATACTGCGCAAAAGCATGACAAAACAGTCAACGCCAACGGCAACAACAACAGCAGCAGCAGCAGCAGCAGCAGTAGCAGCAGTGGCGGGCTCACCAATGTTGCGCTCGACGTTTGTGAGTGTGGCGAGATGGTTGTGTAGCGTCTCTGTGATCAGCCGCATCGGGTCGTCCTCGTCCCCGTGCGCTCCTGTGCACCAAAACACCCAGCAGTGTCAGCTCGTGTGGCGTGTGTGTGTGTGTGTGTGTGTGTGTGTGTGTGTGTGTGTGTGTGTGTGTGTGTGTGTGTGCGTGTGTGTGTGTCCGCACCTTGGTTGACCTCTGTTGTGAGCTTGATGAGCTCGTCCTGCATCTTGGACATGGTCTCGTGCACCTGCATCGCCGTCGCCGCCCTGCGCACACATGCGTGACCACATCATCATGGTGGTGGTGGTCGTCGTCGTCAGTACCGCTGGTCGTTGGCGCGCAAATCACATGTGCAAATCGAACAATAGAAGAAAAGGGACAGCAGCCATGCTCAAACACACACACACACACAATACAATACAATGCAGGCGTACATGCGGTGGCGTTCGTGGTCTGCGGTACCCGACACGTCCATGCCTTGCACACTCTTCTCAAGCTCATCCAGAATGCCTTAAGCAGATACGGGATGCACATACGCCATTGTATGCGTGCGTGTGAATGAATATGAATGTGTGTTGTATGTTGTATGTTGTGTGGGTACACTGGCAGTTGTGTACTGCACCAACCCAATACGAATGCCGCAGCAGCGTGTTGTGTGATCGGTTTGGACACAAACCAACCCAACACAGCCATCACACAACAAGATTGGTCCCCACCGTTGATGTCCTCCTGCTCCTTCGTCAGCGTCTCCAGTTCGCCCTTCAACCTGATGCAACAAACGACAACGAGCAACAAAAAAGCAGCAGCAGCAGCAGCAGCAGCACCACCACCACCACCACCAGCAGTTGTCGTTGTAGATGCAGTGGTTGAATGAGTCAAGCATCCCGTGTCCCTCAACACGAACCACCACCGAACCCGCATCAATGCCACACCACCACACATCACACCACCACGCCACCACGCCACCACCACGCTCCACCACCGTGTGCTACGTACTTCTTTTGCTGCTTCTCGACGTGTGCCACCTCGTCGTTGAGCGACTTGATGCGGTTGGCGTTGGCCAGGATCTCGCCATCGCGCTTCCGCAGCTGCGTCACCTCCTCCGTGAACGCCGCATGCTGGTCTGTAATCTCCTTCTGCCACTGTTGGGTGCAGAAAGCAGACGGGGGGGGGGGCGGGAGAGGAAAGGCGCGTTTGGTGCGACACGTGATGGGCGGAGGCGCATGAGTGATTGTGGTGACAACAGTGAATTGAGTGACGTAGGGCCACCGAACGCAGGCACAGACACACACACAGACACAGACACAGACACACACCCACCCACACCCACACCCACACCCACACCCACACCCACACACACACACACACCCACACCCACACCCACACACACACACACACACACACAATTCCACACGCAATTGTACACACAGACATGCACACCTTGCCGAGGGCCTTGTCGAGCTCCTTGTAGAGCATGTTGTTTGGGTCTGCGTTTGATCCATTTGGTGGCTGCTTGGCACTTTGCGCAGTGGGTGCACCAAAGGCGGGCTTGGCGGGTGCAGCAGCTGTGGATGAGGACGAACCACTTGCCGGGCCGCTCGCTTGTGTCTTTGGTGCTCCAAAGGCGGGCGCAGTAGACTTTGTCCCCGCATCTGCTGTTGTCGTGGCTGTCTTTGGAGCACCAAACGCGGGTGCAGTTGTTGTGGCAGTCTTGGGAGCACCAAACGCGGGTGCGCCTGCTGTTGTTGTGGAAGTCTTGGGAGCACCAAACGCCGGTGCAGTGGTAGTGGCAGTCTTGGGAGCACCAAATGCCGGTGCAGTGGTAGTGGCAGTCTTGGGAGCACCAAACGCCGGTGCAGTGGTAGTGGCAGTCTTGGGAGCACCAAATGCCGGTGCAGTGGTCGTGGCAGTCTTGGGAGCACCAAATGCCGGTGCAGTGGTCGTGGCAGTCTTGGGAGCACCAAACGCTGGTGCAGTGGTAGTGGCAGTCTTGGGAGCACCGAATGCGGGTGCACCTGTCGTCGCTGCCTGTGGAGCACCGAATGCGGGTGCACCTGTGCCTGGCTGTGCAGGTTTGCTGCCAAAGGCGAAGCCTTGTTGTGGTTGTGCGGTTGTGGCAGGCTTTGACAGAGGGGAGGGTGTGGCCACATTACCGGCTTTTGGGGCACCAAACTTCAACCCGCCGCCGCCAGTACCGCCGCCGCCAAAAGCAGGCGCACCTCCTGGTTTTTGTCCAGCCCCAAATGCAGGCATGGCCTGCTGCTGTTGCTGCTGCTGCGGAGGCTGCTGTCCGCCACCAAACTTGAAGGCCATCTTGCTTGCTTGTCGATGAGTGAAGGCTGATCGCTTGTGCCCAAACAAAAACCTTGACAACACACACACACACACACTCACACAACACGTCGTACACAAAGTTGCGCCTGCTTCAACTCGTGGCCTGTCCACAGATGGTTCAGGTGTACCAGAGAGTTGCTGAGGACGAGGATGGTGAGCGACAGCAGACAGTGGCGAGAGTGTCTTTGGGAGCTGGTGCAGCAAGCAGGCGAGTGAACGGTCGCGGGTTGGGAAATTTTGCAATATCTTTCAATAACATAACCACGTGCCAAGACAACGTGTGCACACAATACAGCGCCACAGCAGCACGACTTTGTTCCTCACTCATCGCACATCTCACATTGCACATCGCAAGCAGCACAAAGGGAGGATGAAGCCGCTGTTGTCTGGTGTGGATGAGGTGGCGGCCAATGTGGCCAATGCCCTGGTTGTAGACGAGCGATTGGCAGCGGATACGCTGCGGTCGCTGACATCTGCGTTTTCTCTCACAGCCAAGCAGCTGCACGTCGACAACAGACAGGCATCCATCCAACACAAACTCATGGTGCGTACCAGAGAGAGTGTGTGTGTGTGAGTGAGTGAGTGAGAGACAGAGAGACAGAGACAGAGAGACAGAGACAGAGAGACAGAGACAGAGACAGAGACAGAGACAGAGACAGACAGAGACAGAGACAGAGAGACAGAGACAGAGAGAGACAGAGACAGAGAGACAGAGACAAAGGGTATGTGTGAGACATGGAGAGGAGCCCAAGAGACAGACAGTCAGTCAGTGTGAGAGTGAGAGATATTCTGTGGTGCGATTCCCTGTGTTGGCTGTGTGGATGCCGTGAGTGTGATTGTCACGGCTGCATTGGGTATGTGGCGCCGCCTGTCCCTGCACGCGTGGCGTTGCCGAAGCTCATGCACCGCTCACACGTTGTGTTTGTGTCTTGATGTGTTGCGCTTGGCTGTGATCACAGACACATGGCTTCGATGAGGAGCAAATTTGGGGTACTTGTGCATGTGTACGTGTGCGTGCGTGTATGTGTTGTAGATCTTGCAATCATCAGTCTCCCTGCGAACATCGCTGGGCCTTTTTGCGTGAGCGTGATGCCTATCTTGAGCACACTTCTCATCGTGCGTGTTGTATTGCTGATGTTTGCCACCTGCGATGTCGCTTCTTGCAGCGCAAATCGAGCTGATGAACGAGCCCATCTTCGACATGCTGTCATCACAGTTGGAGGCGACACAGCTTGAGAGCGCGCGCACCGATGTGGCCACACTCTATGAACAGGAGGATCGCGATGAGGACGAGGCCGCATATGAGGATGCAGAAGGGTTTGACGACGAAGGCGCCGCCCTTGAAGATGAGGAGGAAGATGAGGGTGACGAAGAGGACGTGGATAAGGCGGGAACCGGCGAGGATGAGCACGAGAGCGACACAGATGCAAAGGCGCTCGGTCTTGACGATGATGATGACGACGAGTTTGAGGGCATGACCGACGATGACGACGACATGTCTGGGGACGAGGAGTTGACGATCGAGGACCTTAAGAAGATGACCAGCTTCCAGCGGCACCAGCACGAGATCAAGAAGCAGATTCAGGAGCTCGAGCAGGAAAATGTCGCAGAGAAAACGTGGCAGATGAGCGGAGGTTTGTTTTGCGCTTTTGTGTGTGTGGGTGTGGGTGTGGATGGGTGGGTGGGTGGGTGTGTGTGTGTGTGTGTGGCTTTTGGTTCTTCACACAACACCAACGCCTCCATTGCAGTCCTCCCAATCAACCGTTCATGCAAACCTGGCTCACCACCTCCTATCTCCCCTCTGCCACATGTGTGTGTAAACAGAGGCGGATGCGCGCGTGCGGCCGGAGAACAGCCTGCTTGAGGAGTTTCTCGAGTATGACCACGTGACAGCACCGCCGCCGCCAATGACAGAGGAGCAGACGGAGAAGCTTGAGGACGTGATCAAGCAGCGCATTGTCGACAACATCTTCGACGACGTCGAGCGCCGCTTCGAGGAGGATCTGGTCCGGCCCATGGTGGTGGCGGGGGGGGGTGTATGCGTGTGTGTGTGTGTGTGTGTGTGTCTGGGTTTACCTGTGTGTCTGTGTGTCTGTGTCTGTGACCACCATCAACATCTGGCTGCTTTCTCACCCATCACCACTGCTACGTGCGCTTGACACCCCTCCACGTGTGCGTGCGATTGTGTGTCTCCCCCCCCCCCTCTTTTCTCTCTCAACAGGAGAATGAGCAGAAGCAGCTGCCGGATGTACTCAAGGAGAAGTCAAAGCTCAGCCTCGCCGAAGTCTACGAACAGGTCCGCCCCTGTTGTTGACACTGTGTGTGTGTGTGCATGTGTGTGTGTGTGCATGCCTTGTTGGACTGCGTAGCATCACAACCACAGCTACAATGCGCCCAACAATCATTGTGCTATCTCGCGTCCACCACCACCTACCCACCACTCACCACCACCACTCCTACAACCTCCACCAACTCCCATTAGGACTTCCTCGAGGCGACGCAGGGCGCTGTGACGAGCGCTGCTGAGCGGCGTGTGCAGCGGCAGCACAAGGCGGTGAAGCAACTCATGATGTCGATTGAGGACGAGCTCAATGCGCTCACCAACGCACACTATCTCCCGATGCGGCCCAAGGAAGATCTCTCCATCTCCACATCCGCTCCCGTTGTCACCATGGAGGACGGTCCGTATTGCTGCCTGCCACTGCTGTGTTTGTTTTGGTGGTTGCTCGGCCGCTTTGCTAATGTGTGTGTGTGTGGGTGTGGGTGTGTGTGTGTGTGTGTGTGTGTGTGTGTGTGTGTGGGTGTGGGTGTGTGTGTGTGGGTGTGGGTGTGTGTGTGTGTTGACTTGTTCTGTCCGGTCCTCTGCTCGACCCAACTGTTTCTCCCGTATATTTCACCACCATCACCCTCTCCTCCTCCCTCCCCCCCAAAACCACCACAGTGACGCCGACTGCTGTTGGCGCGAACGAGCAGAAGGCGCCCGAGGAAGTTGCGAAGAAGGAGCTTGTTGCGATTGGCGAGGAGGAGGCGACCGACACGGACCGCAAGCGCGAGCGCAGGAAGAAGAAGAAGAAGCAGCACGACGACCGCATTCGCCGCGAAAAGTTTGAGGACAAGCTCGACCGCGGACAGGTCGGCTTGCTGTGGTGATGGCGGTGCTGTGTGTGTTTGTTTGTGTGTTTGTTTGTTTATTTTTTTGTTTGTTTGTTTGTTTGTTTGTTTGTCTCTCTGTGTCTGTCTGGCTGCCAATCTGCCATCTGCCATGTGTGCTGCCCTCACCTCGGTTATCCCGTAACCGCTCCCCACCTCCACAGGCGACGGAAAGTGCGGCAAGCGCGAAACAGCGCGCTCTGACAAAGCTCAAGGACAAGGCCAAGCAGAACGAGGCGGTGAGTTGCTGGCGATAATGAAGGGGGTCAAGGACTCCAATCAACAATGTCATGCCACTCACATCATACTCACTGACATCATACTCACTCATTCACACACACACACACACACACTCTCTCTCTCTCTCTCTACCGCAGAACATTACCATCCTGGACGGGTCTGTGAGCGTGGACGAGCAGCTTGCAAAGAACAAGATCTTCCAGAGCCTCAAGCGACAGGTGGAGAAGGAGGCCGATGCCATCACCGGCGCAAGAAAGAAGAAGGCAAAGCGGTCCTCAAAGTCTGGCGCGGCCAGCTACAAGCTCTAGTGGTGCCTGCCTTTTCCCTTATTGGTTGTTGTCAGTCAGTGTTGTTTGGTTGTGACATGGTTGTTCCTCGGTGTTGCTGTTTGGTGTTGTTCTGTTCGCTAGCAGTGGTGTCTGTCACGCATGACGTCTAGTTCTTTTGTACATTGCACCTTATATTCGCGCGCATGGCAGCACACTGTGCGTGCCCTCGACCCCTGCCTCTCCTGCCCCCCTCAATGAACGAACTAAGCCAAGAGATTGAGTCATCACGGTGGTTTTTATTGACATGGAATGAGCGGCCAACACAGGCAAACACACAAGCCTTGTCCTCTCCACGCTCACTTACACTCCGCTCACCCTCATCATTACAGCAGTCACATCACGGCACCACGACACACACACACACACAGCGCTCACACAGATGAGACGAAAGCAATAACTACGTTCGCATAAAGACATGTGAGTGGACAGCGTCCAACAGACACGCACCCACACGAGGTGCCGTGCAGAGACTGGTGGTGGATGCACAGTTAGCGCAGGCGGCCGACCACGCTTGGTGTTCTCTGCTCTCTACTTGGTGTAGTTGGCTGGCCTTGGCTGGGGCAGCCGCTTGTTTGCCATCTCTAGGGTCAGGTCATAGTAGGCATCCAGCTGGGACGTGTGCACGTTTGAGTAAGGCACAGAGCGTCCATAGTAGCCCTTTTCGTTTGCAACATCTGTCTTGTACTTGCTCTCTGCATAGTGATGAATGTGGTTGTGTGTGTGGGGGGGGGGGGGTTGTGTGGTTGTGTGTCAGGAGTGTGGACGCGTACGTGCGTCGGCGTGCATCATTGTGAGTGAGTGTGTGCGTGAATGTGTGTCAGTGTGTGCCAGTATGTGTGTGTAAGCAGGCAGTGGAGTTCATGCAGACATCCAAGCAAGCGTGAGCATGACACCACAGTCGGTTAGTGGCACGGGGGGAGGCAACAACACTGACCAGCGGCAGCTGTCTTCTTGTTGGCGGCGGCAGAAGAGGCGCTCTTCTTGGAAGCGGTGGCCTTGGCGGCCTTGGTGGGCTTGGCGGCTTTGCTTGCCTTCTTGGTGCTGCTGCTTGCGCAGCGAACGAGCACCTAACAACGTCAGCCGGAGAAGTGCAAACACGAATGGTTGGTGGAAAGCAAACGTGGCCACATTCGAATGTGATGTGGTGTGATGTGATGCGACATGTCGCCAACGTGAGCGTATGTTTGGATTTGCGCACAACGTCGCTGTTGGCTGACGCCATCCAACATCCAACTGCGAGCCAGGCACAGCCACAGAGCTGCTAGCATGCAGGCTGCCATGAGACCTTCACGACCACTGCCACCACCACCACTGCCACCACCACCACCATCGTCCTCATCGTCTTGCTTGCTTGCCCTCACCCTTGCAGCTGCGCGATATCCAGGCATGATACGACGAATTTTCGACGATAGAATTATTGGTGGCCAACCCACCGCTTTCTCCTTCCTCTTGCTTGGGTGTGCCTTTTTCTTGCTGTCTACTGCTTCGCCTGCACACACACGAGGCCTTTTTCACACCTAAGACAAGACGAGCAACTGCTGCCCACCTGCGCTCTCGCTTGCCCAGCACCCATCACACCCACACACACGCAGCCATGGCTGAGGAGAAGAAGATCGAGGGTGAGCCCACTGAGGGAGAGGACAAGGGAGGGAGAGCGCCTGTGCTGCTGCTGGTGGTGGTGCTCTTGTGTGTGTGTGTGTGTGTGTGTGTGTGTGTTTGAGGGAGGGGCTGCTGCATGCAACGGACTGGTGCGTGGGTGGTTGGTGGTGGGAGCCGTCACTGTCTGTGAGCCGCCATTGTCTGCGGCAAGCACACTCTACCGGTTAGCTCACCACCAATGAACGGCGTGCGTGTATATACATACGCTTGCAGAGGTCACCGCCGACGTTGTCGATGACGTCGAGGACGTTGAGGACGAGGACGACCAGGAGGAGATGCCTGACCTGCAGCAGGCTGAGCCCGAGGCCGAGTCCCAGGTCGCAGCTGAGGCCGCCACGGCCAAGCAGAGCCGCAGCGAGAAGAAGGCCCGCAAGGTGTGTGTGTGTGTGTGTGTCTTTTCGCTTGGTGCGCGTTGGGATGCATGCATGCCGCGTTGTGCACTGTTGTGACTTTGACCCCGAGTGTATGCGCACGTGTTGGGAGCGTGGAAGCACAAATACGTGTGACGTGAAGCCAGTATGCAGTGTGCAGTGGCCTGTCTCACCCTGACACCTGCGTCCCCCCCACACACGTTTGCACGCTGCAGGCCCTCTCCAAGCTCGGTCTCGTCGCTGTTGATGGCATTGCCCGCGTCACCATCCGCAAGTCCAAGAACGTGAGTGGCTTTGCACACTCCCACCAGCAGCACGTTGTGCTAATTGCCAACATCACACGCCCGTTCTGCTCTCTCTCTCTCTCTCTCTCTCTCTCTCTCTCTCTCTCTCTCTCTCTCTCTCTCTCTCTTCCTGCCTTCCTGTCCTCCCTGTCATTTACGTTTGGCTGCAGGTGCCGTTCTCTCATGACACACATCCCTGACGTTTCTTTGCTTGTGTTTGGCGCCCTCCCCTTGCTTTCTCTGCTGCAGATTCTCTTTGTGTTCCAGAAGCCCGATGTGATGAAGAGCCCAGCCAGCGAGACCTACATTGTCTTTGGCGAGGCCCGCTTCGAGGACCTCAGCCAGAACGCCATGGTCAACGCCGCCGAGAAGCTCGTCAAGGTCCGCTTGCCTCGTGTTGCCGTGGGTGGCTGTGCACGTGGGTGTTGAAAAGATGCGTGTGTTGGGGGGCGGTTCGCGTGTGGTGTGGGTGGGTGTATAGTGCTGGCTTGCGGGTGGAAATGCTGTTGTACACATGCATGCTCACTCTGATCGTGATGGCACCTCTCGTTCCTTTCTTCCTTTGTGGGTTTGTGTGCTGAAAGCAGCAGCAGGCGCAGACCCAGAAGGCCCCCGAGCCCGCCCCAGTTGAGGTGACCACCAAGGGTGCTGAGGAAGTGAAGGAGACGCCAAAGGCAGAGGCCGCGACGGTGAGCGCCTGTGCTGTGTGTGTGCTGTGTGTGTGTGTGTGTGCGTACGTTTGTTCACTTGTTTGTTTGTTTGTTTGTTTGTTTGTTCACTTCGTTCGGCGAGCCATTCCTTTGTTAAATGCTTAATCGTATGCTTGTGCGCTGTGCACGCGTTTTCTGCTTGCTGCAATCTCCCTCACCTTTGCACTCATCTCGCTGATGCTTGGCCATGGTGACAGGAGGAGAAGAAGGCTGATGCTGGTTCGATCAGTGAGAAGGATATTGACGTTGTTGCGAAGCAGGCCAACGTGTCGCGGGATAAGGCAATTGAGGCTCTCAAGAAGACCAACGGCGACATTGTCAACGCCCTCATGGTACGAGTGCACGAGGAAAGGGGAAGGAGGGAGAGCTCGGGAAGGAGTCAGGGTAGTGGTGTTGATGATTGTTTGTGTTTGTGTATGTGTGGTTGGGTGGCTGGGTGGCTGGCTGGATGTGCGGGCGTGCGGGTGTGCGGGTGTGCGGGCGTGTTTTGTGTTGGGACGTGGCATGCACCGCTCTGCTTGATATATCTGTATTGTTCCATTGCTCACCTACCATTTTGCCCACTGCGCGTGTTGTGATTTGCAGGAGCTCACCATGTAAGCCGTTGCAGTGGTTGTCGTGTTTTCTGTTTTGAGTTGTTTCATTGTTGGTTGTAACCGTCCACAGTACAAGTTGTGGTGACTTTTGTACCCACTTGAACGAAACACGCGTGGAAAGCACAAGAGATTTTGGAGAAGGCGGGAGGGGAGGGCAAAGTGCGAGGCGAGTTGCAGCACGTGGCCATGCGTGCAATCATAACATCATGAAGAGCAGGTCCGCATGTGTTGGTGACGACAGCTGTGTGTGGGCGTGGGAGGTTGCGCTCATTGCTGCTGTTGCTGGAGCGAGAGCTGGAAGCGGTACTTGTAGCTGTGCTCATCCTTGCGGAATGGAACCCACATGATGTAGTTGGTGCTGCAGGAAGCCGTCCGTGTGTGTGTGTGTGTGTGTGTGTGTGTGTGTGTGTGTGTGTGTGTGTGTGTGTGTGTGTGTGTGTGTGTGTGTGTGTGTGTGTGTGTGTGTGTGTGTGTGTGTGTGTCAGTGATAAAAGTAGGAAACAAACACTAACCGCGGCCTTAGTCTCCTCTTCCCCCACCCCCGCCTCCCTCTCCCACTAGCACTGTCTTCCCGCACCCCCTTACCCCCAGATGTTGTTGAAGAGGCAGAAGTTGACGCCGCGAGAGACGTCTGGCTGCCAGTCGCCACTCGGGGTGGGGAACGGGTTTGTGTCGCCCCAGGACAGCAGTGGAGCATCAAGCGTGCGCAGCGACACGCCGGAGCTGTGGCGCACACCGTCCCACACAGCATGCAGGTGCTTGTGTGGACGTTGGGTTTGGTGAAGGGGAACATCGGTGAGAAAGGGAGGAGGGGTGGTGTTTGACGGGTGATTTGAGTGGTGATGGGAAAGGTTGATTGACGTCAGGTTGTCTCAGTACGCATCAGTCAAGTGAAGCAAAACAATTACAAGCAAGCCATGACGGCGCAGCATGTAGCGCAAGCAAGCAACACAGTGCTGTTGACATACGCGCGATCCGTTGACAGCAACATCGAGGGGATTCACATTCGCGTCTGCCAGCTTGCCCATCGTCCACCCAGAAGATGACACGCGCGGCGCAAACCTGACGAGAGGTGCGTGTGGAGGAGGAGGAGGGGGGGGGGAATTTGTGAGAGCAATGGGAGGATGAGTGTATGAACAGAGAAAGGACGGGTGCGGCCAAGGGGCACAAGTTCTACCGAGACTCTCACTTGAACCACGCAGACTCAGGAAGCCTGGTTGCCGTCTTGTTGCTCAGCAGCAAGCTAATGTTTACCCTGTGACACAAACAAAGCAATGCATTCGTTGCACATGAGTCAAGAGGCATCATTTGATCAATTCGTGCGTATCATGTGTGTGTGTGTGTATGTATGTATGTGTGTGTGTGTGTGTGTCCTGTTGCTCGCCCCCGGCTGTGTATCTATCTGTGTTCCGTGCTCGTCCCTGTCTGTCTAAATGAGTCATGTACCTTGATGAGTCGAAAGAGTACTCAATCCAAACCGAGTCAGGCGGCCCAAAGTTGGCGCGAAGATGTGCAATGTTGGGTGGCTGCAGCTGCAGCACAACCGATGCCGCTGCTGATATGGTGCTCGTGGTCACAAGCCACAAGGTCACACAGGGTAAGCACGTGGTGGTGATGGCACGACGATTGCCCCACGCTTTGAACCAATAGTATTGAGGACACACACATGTTCACACATATCCACACACACACACATGTGTGTTCACACACACATGCATATGCACATTGCCAGACGCATACATGCGCATTTATGTGCGCACCTTGTGAGTCGTTCTTGACGAATGCCGCCTTGATCGGCGCATGCACAATGGTGGTGTTCGCAATGATGCTGTTGTTGTACAGCCCTAAAACCCATCCAACACGTAAACCAGGACAGACAGTCAGACATAGCGTGGGTGTCAATGCGTGTTGAAGAACCCACGCCTCTGGCACTTTTACACACACAACGCACGCACACACCTGGCTTGCCAAAGTCCTTGGGAAAGTAAGATGGGATCTTTCCATCGATGCGCTGCGCATATTCGTCAAAGAACGTCTCATACTCGGAAGCAGCGTGCACCTGGAGCGGATGGAGACACGAGGCGTGTATGCGTGTGTGTGAGTTGTGTATGTATGTGTGTGTGAGAGAGAGAGAGAGTTGTGTATGAATGTGTGTGTGTCCGTCAGGCTGTCTGTGTCTATGCCTCAGTGTGCACACAAGTGTGTGTGTGTGTGTGCCTCCCCTTTGCTCGTCCCATGCGCACCTTGTACTCGAAGGTGCCAATCTGGTTGGCAGTGGACGCGAGGACGGTTTCCGATGAAGCGTGCACGAGCGATGCAATGGCGCCCGTGGTTGCGTTGAACGAAACAACAAACCCGCCAACGCGCATTTCCTTGGTCACATCCGCAACCTGACAACACGCGCGGAGATAAGGAGGAGAAGTTGTCAAAAAATGTGTGTGTGTGTAGGTGTGTGTGTGTAGGTGTGTAGGTGTGTGTGTGTGTGTGTGTGTGTGTGTGTGTGTGTGACTGGGTGGTGTATCATGATGTTTCACCTGGGAGTATCCGCTCAGCGATGGCAGCTGTGGGCTTGTGCCTGCAAGCTCATCACTATACGACAGGACAAGGCAAAAAAATCACGTGTCATTTACAACGCATGGACGGGGAAAGATCAAGTGCCAGACCATACACGATACCACACCCACGTGCACACACACACGCACCTAATGAATGATGTGAGGGGATGTGATGTAGGCACAGCCTGGCGGGCAAACTTCAGTCCCCAGTCACGCTGCTCCTGCCACATGCCTGGTGAAATGCAGAGGGCGCCCAGAAAGGGGTGTGGACACGGTCGTGAGCAAGCACATGAACATGTCATAGCAAACACACGCGAGTGTGAAACAAGCACACAACACACGAACATGCACACACACACAACACAACACAAAGAGCTGCCCCTCACTAGCAATCTGGACGTAGTTATCAGCGGAGTACTGGAGGCGGTGGAAATCGACGTTGAGCCAGTTGTCCTCGTCATGCAGATACTTCTTCACGTCTCCGCCCCACGTGTGCTCGGGGCTGCACATGTGTGTGTGCGTGTGTGTAAGTGAGCGCGTGTGAGTGAGCGTGTGCGTAAGTGAGCGCGTGTGAGTGAGCGTGTGCGTGAGTGAGCGCGTGTGAGTGAGCGCGTGTGAGTGAGCGTGTGTGTGTGTGTGTGTGTGTGTGTGTGTGTGTGTGTGTGTGTGTAAGAGTGTGAGCATGAGTGCGTGAGCGAGAGAGTGTGTGTATATGTGTGTAAGTGAGTGTGTGTGTGAAGCGAACGAGAGCAAACTATATCTCCCAAGTCTGGAGCCACAACAAGTCGCAGGATGCACTGAAATGACCAATGTAGTAAGGGTAAGCCCCCCGCCCACAGTGTGCCTCTCTCTGTCCTCCGCGTACTTTTTCAGCAGGAGCCGGGTGAAGTTCAACATGACAGCATCTGCTGCTGAACACGCGCCCGAGCCAAGACACGACACCCTGGTGGTGGTGGTGGTGATGATGATGATGATGATGATGGTGGCGGCGGTGATGGTGGTGGTGAGTGAATATGGGGAAATCGGTTGTGGTGGTGAACGGAAAGCGCCACTAATACAGGTTCATGCACAAGTATAGAGTGCAAACAGCGGTGTCACAGCGGACGGAAGCATGACAATGCATTCCCTCGCACCTTGCTCGCTCGAGAGCACGGTATGCGGTGTTCTTGTAGGGATCACTCGCAATACCGTAAATCCACGTGTCTGTTTTGAGTTTCAGGATCAGCAAGGTACGGGGTTAGGAGTCAACAACAAGACGTGAAAGCGGTGTGGTGCGCAAAGCAGACAGTTGACACTCCCTGCTGATTACTTTGAACAACACACACACACACACACACACACACACACACACACACACACACAGCGCGTGAGAGCACCTGCAATTTCCTGTGTGATGACGGGGAGCCGGTGCTTGACGGATTCGAGGATTTCAAAGTACGAATCAAAGGACGATGGCACAATTGTCGCGCCAGGGAACTGCAAACATGTACGGTGTGTTTGGATGTGTGTGTGTGTGTGTGTGTGTGCGTGTGTACGTATGTGTGTGCGTGTGTTGTGTTGTGTTGTGTTGTGTTACGTATGGTGCGTGTTCACGAGAGAGACGAGATGTTTCGAAATCTGGGACAAGCTGATCGCCCTTTGCTGTTTTCGATGATGAACAGCATCGCACCAAACACGGACCCCCATTTGGCCTCGAGCCTCACCTCCTTCTTGAGCTGTTTCCAGTGCTGAAGAACCTCGATGACACTCCATGGACCTTCGTTGTCGCCCTTGTAGTCTGGACACAGCACGTGGTCAAAGCCTGATAGCACACCATGCGTGTTGCATGCCGCTGTCAGGCTGCTGAGGTGGGAAGGAAAGCAACAAAACTAATGCACTCGCCATTTTTTCGTCACAAACAACACCAGCACCACGACCATCAGAGTAGCACACCCATCAGAACATGAACACAACGCATCTCAACCACCAACGCTTCATGACTGCGCACCATCGATGACGATGCAGTCGGACTTGTCGATGCCCCCGTAGCCGTGGGGGTGGAGGGAGGCGAGCACATCTGTGTTTGACGCTTCGTCCCTCCACACGAACACGCGCGGGACAGCGGGCGGCAGCGACGCCGTGTTCACGCCCACGCTGAACCCTCGCACACCTATGAATCGTGATGGTATACGGTCGAAGTGGACGGTAGGCAGTAGCAAGAGTGTGTGAAATTCAAGAAGCAGAACGAGGAGCTGTGGCGCTCTACCGCAATGGGCACACACGCACACGCACAAAAAAAACATACAAACAAACAAACAAACAAACAAACAAACAAACAAACAAACAAACAAACAAACAAACACACATGAATGCCCACACACACAAACACACACACACACATGAATGCCCACCTGCGCTGGCGAGGAGCGGGATCATGCCGCGCGTGGCGCCGGGAACATCGCGCTGCGTCATCACTGTTGGGGCCGAGATGTTGAGGTCGCGGGCAAGCCGTTTTCCAAGCTGAGGCAGGCACCACATGATGTGAGCACACGGGACGCAGACGAGAGATGCGAAGCAACGGTAGCAGCATACTTGGGCATGACACATGCACGAGAGGCGAGACACGGGACACGGTCGTGTCGAGACGACGGACACAAAGAGGCGAGCTGCGGCACCTGTAAGCCCGCGACGAACAGCTCCGTGGACATGGTGGCCGTTTCCGAGTTGTGTGGGAACGCTTGCATGACAATGTTGCCCTGCCAGCAGCAACATTTTGTGCACGACGAGTGAAAGACGGAAAAAGTGCTATTGTTTGGAGTGAAGAGAGCACACAAGGCCGAAATGCCCACGGCGACCCAAAAAGGCAGAGGCAACCTTGTCGATGATCATCAGAAATCATGCCACAATAACGAAGCAAAACAATGCCAGAACTCGCTCACTTGTTTCAAGCCTGCAATGATGGTGGCCCTCTCCTGCTCGGTGGGGCAGGTAAAGCCCATCCCTGGTGATGATGGTGATCGATGGTGATGATGGTGGTCGATGGTGGTCGATGGTGATGTCACAGGGTATATCACACACACACACACACATATTCACACATTCACACATTCACACGCACGCACACACGCACACACACATATTTACACTATACTCACACACACGTTCACATACATACTCACACTCACGCATTCACACGCACATTCACACGCACATTCACGCACACACGCGCACGCGCAGACCTGGTGGGCAGTCGAGCAGCAGCGACACTACATAAGGGTGGGTGGTGAAGATGAGGCCGGCATTGTCTGGGTTCTTCATGGTTTTCAGTGCTTCGGAGATGTTCTGCGCCTCGACGAGGTAACGGCGGTAGTTGTCCAACTCCCCTGCTGCCGTTTCCGCAAACCCAACATCCAAGTGACACGTCTTGTCACGCAAGCACACACACACAGCATATCATCCAGCCGAGCACAAGAAAGAGTACGTTGAGTGGAGGTGTTGCAACACAAGCCCACGACAAGAAATATACGGGCCACTCCATATTCCTTCCTCACACAAGCACACGCACAAGCACACACACACACACGCACACACACACTCTCTCTCTCATGTGCTATACCTGAACGACGTGGACGGTGAGTGCTGCTGTTGTCGGTGGAGCAAAGACGGTGAGCACTGCGACCAGCACAACAACAGCACCACTGGCTGCAGCCCAACCACTGCCACCACCACGAGAACACCCCATCATCGTCATCATCATTGTCGACTTTGCCTCTGTTGTTGGCGATTTGTGGAAAACTTCCAACACATTTCCTTGGTTTGTTTGGTTTTCGCTTCCTCCCCACGCAGCTCTCTCGCATTGCTGCGCTTGCACTTGCTTCGCTTCAAACACAGCATCCGTGACACACACACACACACACACACACACACACACACACACACACACACACACACACACACACACACACACACACACACACACACACACACACACACACACACACACACACACACAGCATGGAGACAGAGGGTGGCGATGCTGTGGGCAGTAGTAGCCCTTCTCGTTCACCGAAATCAGCGACATTGTCGAATGTATGGAAAGGATTCAAGGCCACCTTTGGCAGTTCCAACCACAACCATGACAGACACGTGGATGGTGTCGATGGCACCATCAAACACTTGGCTGACACCACGACGAACCACGATAGACAACCCAGACCCATGCTGGATGACAGCAGCGTCAGCAGCATCAGGAGCAGCCCCATTCCCAACGACCACAGTCATGCACCCACCTCGGATGAATCAGAGGATGACGACGTGCGAGGAATCAGCAACGACAAGGACGACGACGACGACGACGACGACGACGACAACGCCGACAACAAGAACGCTGATGGTGTAAATGGTGTTGCAGAAGACGAAGATGATGATGAAGGCAAAGAAGAAGCGAGTGTAAGTACCAGCGGCAATGGTGTCGGTGCTGCTGACAAAACAGCCACAGCTCGTCTCTCCTTGCGCTCCAGCAGCACCGGTGTCGTTGGCCGCGAGCGTATCAGGTCACCTTTGGCCCAACAGGACGGTGTATTAGACCACCAAGACTCTGGCATTGCAAACGACCCACATGCAACTGCAAGGGACAAGAACAGCAGAAGACGGGCCGCAGCAGGCTCCCGTCGCTTCAACCGCAATCTCCACTTCCCCGGTACCCAACACGACGAGGCACCAGCAACAAGCGCAGGTGTGTATGTATGTGTGTGTGTGTGTGTGTGTGATGTGTGGTGTCTGTGTTTTTTTGTGTGCTTTTTTGTTTGTTTGTGTGTGTGGCTGCATCTCTCTCTCTGCCTATCTCTATCTGTCCGTTTGTCTGTCTGTTTGTCCATGCATGCGCGTGCATGTGTGTGTGTGTAAGTATGGTTGGGGTTTCTTTCTTTTGGTGTGTGTGTGTGTGTTCACCGCTTGCAAAGTGCCTGTTGCCTTTGTCTTGTCGTTGAATATCTGCACGCGCAGCCGCACGTGTACCTGCATGCTCACGTTCGTACATCATGTCCATGCATGCACGTCGTGCTGTTGTGAATCATTCTGGGTACGCGTTTACGATCACATCACAGAACCAGATGCTGGCGCGAGGACAGCGTCGTGGTGGCGGCGGTATTGGCAACAGGGGGCGTGGTGGGCGCGCGACAGCCTGCTGCACCTCAAGACAGCGCTGCTGATGGCGGTGTGGACGGTAGTGCACGTGCTGCGTGCCGTGCTGGTGCGCTTTGCGTGGGTAACGACAGGCTCCCTCTCTGGCACGCGAAGCATTGTGACGGGCGTGGTGGAGCTGTTTGCAGACGTGTGCGACGTGGCCAACCAGATTGCCGCGCACTGGCTGACGCGTGGCCTGGGCCCGTCGCAGCGCTCAAGCCTCAAGGCCACGCTGCGATACCAGCTCAAACATGCGCGCACGTACGACGAGTGGAAGGACACGGCCATCCAGCTCGACAAGCTGGTGGGGAACGTGACGTGGAAGATGGGGTTTGAGAGCACGCTGTACGACTACATGCTGCTGCGTGACCACCTGGACGCGTTTTACCAGGCGCGCATGAAGGACGACCGCGCACGCATGGCGTGGCTGCTCCGCACGACCTTACACCGCAACCTGGCCAACATGGGCAACCCAAAGCTGTTTGAGCGGTGCTACCACGGCACGAAGGACCTGATTGAGCAGTACGTGAGCGAGGTGGTGTACCAAATCAACTACCTCGCGGACACAAACATCCCTGGCCTCTCGCACGAGGACAAGCTGCAGATGTTTGAGGCAATGCGAAGCTCGTTTGGCCGCTCTGCGCTGCTGCTGAGTGGCGGTGGCGGCTTTGGCATCTACCACCTCGGTGTTGTGCGTGTGTTGCATAAGGAAGGGCTGTTGCCGCGCATTCTGTCCGGGTCGTCGGCAGGCTCTCTGATGGCCAGTCTCATCTGCACGCGCACGGACGAGGAGCTGGACGAGTTCTTCGAGAATGAGATTCCAGACGTCAAAAACTGGTCAGTTGTGGTTGTGTGGGTGTGTATGTCTGTTTGTATGTGTGTATGTGGGTGTGGGTGTGGGTGTGTGAGTGTCTGTCTGTGTGTGTGCATGTGCCTGTGCCTGTTCCTGTGTCTGTGTATGTGTGCGTACGCGTGCGCATGATGCATGCATGCATGCATGCATGTGTACATGTGCATTGGACGTGTTTGGTGTGAGGTGGATACAGGAATACTCCACGCGCACCTGTCTCATCTTCACGCACTCGGCAACATTTGAATGTGTGTGGCACAGGAATCTGCTGGTGCCTGACGGGGAAGACGTTGACTTTGCGTCGCTCCTTCGGCGCCTCTTCAGGTGTGACCGGGAACGAAGGGGAAGACAGAGCAGTGGGTGGAGTGTGCATTTGTCCTTGGTCACTCCGCCAATTTCCTTCCCAACGTACGTGCGTGACCTTTACCCACTTTGACTCACTTCAATAGGCTCACATTCTCACCTACTTGCTCACCGGCCCCCCCCCCCTTGCACGGCATGCGCTGCTGCCCAGGACCGGGTCAATGGCGGACGTGCGTGTGCTGGAGAAGTGCATCTATGACAACATCGGTGACATCACGTTTGAGGTGCGACAACAACTGAGTTCCACTGTGGCGTCCCAATTGCCCCGCCTGTCTTACGGTACTCGTGGGATGGTCCACAGGGGTGAATGTTGTTTCCCGGGAGGGGGGGGTTGAATTTTGGCCATCGTGTCACAAGCCCACAGAGCAAGAATTTGCATGCCATGGCCAACGACCAACACCCACGTTTCACTGCTTGACAGGAGGCGTACAAGCGAACGGGCCGTGTGCTGAACATCACCATCAACGCCCGCGATTCCGTGAGTTGCTGTCACCATCGTGTTCTTGCATGCACCTGGGCCTTGGGAACAACGCGCGTGGTGGCTGTGCACTAATCGCTCCGCATTCCACAACCTTGCGTTGCACACATGTACATGTGACAAATTTGCGCTGACACTCGCTTCCCCTTCGTCTTCAACACAACACAACACAACACAACCAACTGACCAAACACAACCACAACCACAACGGCACACCCAAACAACCCAAACGATTTTAACGCATGCACATGCACGCGTGCCACCGGCAATATGCAGAGCGAGTCGCCACGCCTGCTCAACCACCTCACTGCCCCGAATGTCGTCATCGCCAGCGCCGCGTGCGCCTCCTGCGCTCTCATGGGCCTCTTTGACACCGTCGAGGTGGGTTTGTGTGCGTGTGTGCGTGTATGTGTATGTGGTTGTTTATTGGTTTGTTTGTTTGTTTGTTTGTTTGTTTGTTGTTTGTTGCTCTTATTCTTTGTGTTGTTCGTTATTGCGATGCTGGCAGTGTGTCATACCTTCGCTTCCGTCTCCTCTTCTCACCTTCCACTTTGTCTCCCCACTTCCTCTTTGACTTGCTCATCCACTCACCTGTTTCACATCACAGATCAAGGCTGAGTTTGGGCATGGGCGTCGCGTGGCGTGGAACCCGGGCGGACAAGTGTGGAGTGACGGTACGTGAGAGAGGGTGAGCGCCCTTGGAACCACCTGATGTGAATAGTTTGACTTGGCCAGCATGTTGTTGTTGTTGTTCTTGCTCTTGTTGTTGTTGTTGTTTAAGTTGTTGTTCTTGTTCTTGTTGTTGTTGTTCTTGTTGTTCTTGTTGTTCTTGTTGTTGTTCCTGACTGTGATCGCCTATGTGTTTCGGATTGAGCCTCCACTCTTGTCTTAGTCGCATGCGTTGCTCACCACCTCCCCCTCCCTTGCACGTCGCATCTGCCTCACCTGCTTCACCTCGTTCGCTTTTCCCTTTGCCCTTTCCTGCTTTCGCTTGTGCCGCGCAACCAGGCTCGATGGAGACAGATTTGCCCATGGAACAGCTGGCTGAGCACTTTAATGTGAACCATTTTATCGTCAGCCAAGTATGTTGTGCGCTTGTCTGTGCTGGTGCGTGCGTGTGTGTGTGTGTGTGTCTGTCTGTCTGTCTGCCTGCCTGTCTGTCTGTCTGTCTGTCTGTCTGTCTGTCTGTCTGTCTGTCTGTCTGACCAACTGTTCTCTCGAACACACTTACATTGTATATTGTGTGACGCGAGTGTGACCCACCTATGCCCTCCATTTCTCATTCGCTCTGCGTGTCTCGACGAACGCAACCACAACTTGCAAACCAACCACCACCGTTTGCAGGTGAATCCGCATATTCTCCCGTTTCTGCGCTATCGCTCCTTCTGGAACAGTCGACTCCTGCAGCTCGTGCGCTCCGAGGTGTGTGTGTGTGTGTGTTTGTTTGTGTGTGTGTGTGTGTGTGTTTGTGTGTGTGTGTGTTTGTGTGTGTTTGTGTGTGTGTTGTGCTTCTGTCAGGTGACGTGTGAGTCATGCTGCCTGCCGAACGGTTTTCTGTCTCTTCATGTGCTGTCCTGCCACGCTTGATCTTGTTTGTGCCTCGTCCATCAACCATTTCTTTGCGCGTGCTGACTCTCCCACACGCCCCAACTCTCACACATGCACTCACTCACGCACATACACACCCCGTGCACAGATGCTGTATCGGCTTGAACAGCTGCTCAAGCTTGGGTTCAAACCTCACTGGATCAAGAACTTCAGCCACTTGTTATCACAGCCCTACAGCGGTGACATCACAGTCACCCCACGCGTCACCCTCAACGATTATCTCTAGTGCGTTTGTGGAAGTGGGAAGTGTGGAGGTGGGTGCGTGGAGCGTGTGTGGAACTGCGTGTGATACGTATGGTATGATGTCGGAGTGTTGCCTGTTTGTGCAAAGGCTTCTCTTGCTCCTGTACGCGCGTTCTTACTTTCCCGCGCGTTCTTACATTCCTGTACGCATGCAATCCACTCCCCATCACCATCACCACCTTCAATTCTCCCTCACTCGCTTGCTCACGTCTTGCTCACTCGCTCGCACGTGTCCAGCCTGGTGTCGAATCCAACGCCTGAGCGGGTGCGGCACGGCGTGCTTGTGGGACAGCTGGCCACGTGGCCCAAGCTCAGCATCCTGCAGAGCCACTGTCAGATTGAGATGGCACTCGACAATGCCGTGCACCGTCTTGGTGGCGGCGAGCCCCACTGTTGAGCACATGTGTGTGTGTGTGTGTGTGTGTGTCTGTGTGTCTGTGTGTCTGTGTGTCTGTGTGTCTGTGTCTGTCTGGGTCTGGGTCTGGGTGTCTGTGTGTCTGCATGTGTTCACCTCTCTTCCCACACCGCCCTCCTTCCCGTTATTGACTTTCTCCACACCGCCCTCCTTCCAGTCTCTTTGAGTCCCTCTGGGTCCGTGTTTGTGAGGTTACAGTGTTCGCTTACTATTCCCTCTGCATCGCTGTACCTTCCCTTTGTCTTGTTCACACGTGTTGATAAGCCAACTTACGTCACATGTGCTTCTGTCCTCATGGCACTCGCTCTACTCTGTTCAGGTTTACAATGTTATGAATGCAGTTCCTTTTCTCATTGCCCATGGACGTTGTTCTCCTTTTCCCCCTTTCTGCTTGCCCATGGACGTTGTTCTCCTTTTCCTTCTCTCCCCTCCACCTCGCTGTATCCAACCCCGCGCCAACTTTCGCGCCCTCATCATCACTCGTGTTCGGTTCAAATTTTCCCCAGCTGCTGCTACGACTGCGTCGCCACCCAAGGTTAAAATTTCACAACCACCCGAACGCACTGTCCCACGCATGTCCCACGCATGTTGCGTTGTCGTTCCATAGCCGACATAATCATGTGCAAATGGTCAAACGGGGCCAGCTTTCGTCATGTCGACCGCACCGAATTCGTCTATTTGTCCCTCTAAGGGTCCACGTCCAGATTTAAGTGTCCCACCCTTCGCAAGCACGCACAAGCACGCACAAGCACGCAGAAGGAAGTGCACCACTTCCGCCAACACAACGGTGCTGATTGTCGCCCCCACACACACACACACCAAATAAATTTGCCAGCCAACCAACCCCTGCATGCCATCATCATCAGCATTCGTGGCAGCAGCAGCACGAGCAATCCCGCCGTGCCACGTCACCCACGCAGCGCCAAGCAAATGGCCGCAAGCAAGCAAGGCGGAGCAATCAAGCCCGCCGTGAACGCTTTGTTCGAGTGTGCTTCGAATTTTCACACCCGGGGCATTCCAAGTTGCGTGTGCGCTGCGACATCACGCCACCAACTGCAACTCAAAGCACAACGCACCCACACGCGCACGAAGTGATTGACGTTTGCCAAAACACAGCGCTCAACCCCTTCAACCAGCCTGGCTTGTTGCCGTTTGGCGGATTGCTGGCCTAGCCGTGGGCTTTCTCCTCGCCTTTTGGTTGTTCGGCACGCCACCTGCAGCAACATCCACAGCCGGTCTCTCATCCATTGTGCGTTGCCGGGTTGCGGTGTCGCCGTTGGGTTGCTCTCCACGCACGATCCCTGGCTGTTTTCCAGCTCCCTCAGCTCCTTGCTTGCACCTTTCGCACGCTCGCAGAACACGCCCATTGTCGCCGCAGAAGCAACGCGCCCTCTCGCCTGCCTGCAGGCGTGCAACGCAACAAGCGCTCATTTCTCATTTCCTTGAACTTCATTGTTGTGAACTGCCACCTCGATTCCCAACCGGGTTTTCGTGTGCATGGTTGCCCCTATCGCTTCTCCCTCAAGGCGTCGGAGATTGCGAGATCAAATCTCACCCCACCGACTTGCAGACTTGCAAGACCGCCACTTGTCTGTTTCCCACTCCACACAAAGCCGCCTGCGGCAATTGTTTTGGTTTTGGTGTTGGTTTGCTTCCCAGCCACGCCGCCCACGCCGCCGCCGCCGCAGCAGCAGCAGCAACAGCTTCCTCGCGCAGCTGCCCGCACAGTGCCACCACAAGCAGCCAAGGAGAGATCGTTGTCCGTCTCCTTCCTGAACTTCATGAAGGTGCAACTCGCAAGAAGCAAAGCGCTTGTCAATCCTACTACACTCCCTGTTGCGCACAGCAACGGTAAGTGCACTCAAACACCTCAAACCCAGTCACCACCAGGAACATCGCCGTTTCCCTGGCATCACCCAGCTGCTGCTTGTGCTGCTTCCTCCTCCTTCTTCTTCTTCGATCCTCGATCCTGCTCCATGCCGCTCTTGTATCTGCTCAACGGACTGTCAACTTATGTGTTTCGACACTCGTCTTCCCTTTCTGGCGACCACGAAACCCATATCCCCAACCCACCATTGTTCATTTTCGTTGCCTGTTTCTCTTTCTCCCGCTCCCTCTCATTTCTGTTCGTGCCTGCAGGCAACGCAATTGCAGCAGTGGGCACAGCTGTTCGTTCAGTCAGCAGCCTGTTGTCACATCACTCACCGTAAGCTTGCATGTTCTCCTGTTTGCTGCCTTTTTGCCTGTGTTTTGTTTGCGGGGTGCAAAGCGCAAGCTCACTACTGAGAGCCCCATATCCCTGAGCGTTTGTCTTGCTTGCTTGCGTGCAAGCTGCGCGCACACCGCGATTCCTTCCTGCTTTTTTTTTTCCTTGTCTCCTTGTTGTTGTACTTCCAGGCCCTCTTTCCTTCTCCGTTTCTTTTTCCCCTCTCTCTGTCTTCCTCTCCCTCCCTTTGTCTCATCTTCGTCTTTTCTTCTCCCTCTACCTTTTGTTTCCTTGCTAATTCTTGTGCTACTGTTAATCGCATCCAGCGTTCGCTCGCTTGCTTGCTATATCCACACCAATCATCATACCGGGCTTGCTTTGCCCCTTTTCGTCTTGATTCCATTCCATCGAATTCAGCAACATCCTTTTTCAAGCATCCTCAGCATCTTTCACGCATCGCCCTCACCCCCATCTCCTGCTTGCACTTTGTCGGTCATCTGCACTCATTTGCTCCAGTGTCGAGCCAGGTTCCACTGCCATTTGCATACGGTAGGTGTGCCACCACCGCCCAAAAGCCCAACCGAGCACTACACCAAAGCTTCTGAGTGAGTGCCGCGCTTTCCGTTCGAACCATCCTGAGTGTATGAAATATGCGTGTCTGTCTGTGTGTGTCTGTCTTGTCTGTCTGTGTGTCGAATTGTTTGGTGGAAGTCTTGAACTCATACCCGCCATTGCATGTCTTCGCCTATCGTTGTTTTGCTTCCGTTTATCACTTTGCTTGCTTGCAGGCAAGCATTTCCTTCAACAACAACAACAGCAGCAGCAGCAGCAGCAGCAGCAGCGGCAGCAGCACCGTGCGCCTAACTTCCAGCCTCCCCCCCCCCCCCTGTCCGCCTTCTCCCTCACTTGCTGTCCTTCGGTCCGGACAGCTTCATGGGCGATAAGAACGCAATTGCCATGCCCCGTTCTGTTGCTGACACCGAGGCAGGGCCACCAACCCAGCGCAGCGGCGGCAGCAACGCAAACGCAAACGCAAACGCAAGCAGCAGCAGCAACAACAACAACAACAACACCAAAGGCGTGCAGAAGCGGGCCGTGCAACTCCAGTCCGCGCCGGTGCAGCAATTACTGCAGCAGCAGCAGCAGCAGCGCGCACAGCCGCCTGCCGGTCCCCTGGTGCCAGATCAGGGTGCGCCTTCAAGCATGGAGCCACAGGCCAGAGTCACCCCTGCAGCCATGGGTGGCTCTGGATTCGACCCTCAACAGCTGGCCGCCTGGCAGCAACAGCAGCTCTATGCCATGCAGTTGCAGATGGCAATGAACCAGCTCCAGCAGCAGCAGCAGCAGCAACAGAATGCGCAACTGCAGGAGCCTGGGCAATCTGAGCAAGCACGACAGCAACAGCAGCAAGCGAGGGCGTATCCTGGATCATCGGTAGCCCAGATGCTTCCACCACAAATGATGTTTCAGCAGCACAGTATGCCGCCGCTGCGACAGCAGACCGCACAGGATGGCCGTGACCCAACGCAGCAGCAACAGCAACAACAACCACAGCAGCAGCAGCCAACCAGCAACCCTTGGTTCATGGCCGCCAACCCAGCCGCGAGCATGCAGCCGTGGATGTTTGCTTCGCAGCACCAACCAGCCGCATTGCACGCGTTCTCTACAGGTGCTTTTCCAACGGGCGCTATGCCCTCCACCATGCCATACCAACAAAGCCCCGTGTCTGCCGCCGTCATGCCGTCACAGCTGTCCGTTGGCGGAGGCTTCACGCCCATGTCTGCACCTGCCATGGACGCACAGTCTGGCTACCGTGCCGTGCCACCCACCAGACGACGCGGCCGCAAGCCCCGGCCAACGTGTCCAATCTGCCAAGGCCCAGGCAGGCACACCTCATCAAAGTAGGTCCTGCTCTCCCGCGAATAAACAGTGTTCTCTTGTTTCGCGCACTGTGTATGGGTTCGTGTTTGTGCTTGGTGCTGCTTGGGGTTGATTGTGTTCTCCTTGCAATCGTGTTTCTTGGGAACCAACAATTCCACAACATTTACTCACGTCAGCGCTCTTCTCCCGGGGTGGGTTGTCCGGTTGTTGACCTTGACCACATTCTTGAACAGGCTCTGTTCCACATGCTACGGGTATGTAAAAGAGTGATGGTGGTCCTATATGCTGACGTGTAGTCACTCTGCAAATATGCGCAAAGTTGTGTGTGTGTGTGTGTGTGTGTGTGATTGCGCGTTGTGCAAGTGTGGTTGTCAATGCTTGAGTGGTGTGTGTTGCGAGCTGCGTTGCGTCGTTTTAGAAGTAGATTTTGTGCAATGATGTGATGATACGTCGTGACCTGTGTGACAGATGCACGTGCATGCTTGGACCACACGGCCTGTACTGTGAACGATACGTTCTGCAAAGTGCTCACACGGTGCCGTAATTTGGTTGGCTCTCAACTGGGTGCTGTTTCTAACACTTATGTCCTCGGCGTGTTTTTTCCAGCGGCGTGTACAACGACATTGCAAAGGTGTATCGCACTCTCGGCAAGCACACCATGACCCCCAAGGAGTTCAAACAAAGTCAGTAGTCTCGTGGATTTGCATGCAACTTGAGTCGTGCGCCCCAACGCTGGCCTGATAGAGTCGTCGTCAGCCACAGCCCGCAACAACCATGCTCCTCAGTTCTTACCTTGTTGATTTCCTTCTCTTCCTTCTTGTGCATTGGCCACGCCTGCCTGACGTTGCAGAGTTGCTAAAGCTCGCGCGCGGCTGTCCACGAAACCACGCATGCACTCGTGAACACTTCCACCACATGGTGCCATCATGTAAGCTTTCAGCTTTTTGTCTGTGTTTTGTGTATGTCTGTCTGTCTGCCTGTCTGTACGTGTCTGTGTATCTATGTCTGTGCGTTTGTGCGTGCGTGTTCCGTTGTGCAGGGGCACCGTTGTGTCGCGTGTCGGTTATTTTTCGACTCACCAAACCTGGCTGCCCATCATTCCCTCCCTTCCTGATTCCCCTCCCCAATCACAGACGTCAAGTGCACGCAGTGTCGAACACTTGCTGTCATGGATTATGACGTGTCCGTCGTTGAAAGCCGTGAGTCTCTCTGTGCCTGAGAAGAAGGACTGCACGTGCAACTGCCATTGAGCGCCAACAACACCACGCTTAAGCCTGCAGTTTTTTTTTCTTGTCGGCTCTCCATCAATCATTGTCGCCGCAACCACCACACATACCCTTAAAGCCTTAACCACTCACCACTCACAACTTACCGCACCCTACTTCGCCCCCACCGCCTTTGTGTGTGTGTGTGTGTTCATCAGTGCTTGAGAAGCGACGCGTTCGTCTACAGGAGCTCGCTGCGAAGAATGCCAGGACGGCTTCAAGTGCAAAGCGCGGCGCGACGGCAAACCAGAGCGGCGGCGGCGACAGCAGCCATGACGGTGATGACGACGATGATGGTGGCAACATCAGCACGGACAATGAGCATGACGACGAGGAAGAAGACGGCGAGGAAGGCGACGAGTCGTTGGATGCCGGTGCACTCGAGCAAAAGGCTGTGGGGGACGCGTACGGCGGTGCTGGCGTTGCTGCTGACATGGCCAAGCGTGGTGCTAGCAGCGCCCAGCCTACCAATGGCAATGGCGCGGACGCGGATGCGACGCGTGCACGTGCTTCTCAGCAACCAGCAAAGCCCTCAGCAGCAGCACGCCGCCCAACCCAATCCAAGGACAGCACCAAAGACAGTACCAAGGACAGCACCAAGGACAGCGAGCGCGGTGCCAACCACGTTGGAGCGGCGGTCGTCGATGGAGACGGCGCTGCCGAAGAACAGCAGAACTCAAAGCGCGCCAAGCTGAGCGCCACCGCAGAAGCGCAGTCGTGAGCGTGAGCATTGCTCAGCAGCTGCACGGGCATTGCCTGCATTGCCTGCATGCAAGCAAGCAACCACAGGTGGTTTATTATCTGCTCCTGATAAGTCCTTGCTGTTGTCACGTCACCTCACACCACAGCACTTTGCCTTTGGCTAGTGGCACTGCATTCGTACGCACACGTGTGCGGTGTGCCGTTGTCATGTGTCACCGCTCCGTTACGCGAACTGTATTTGTGAACTTGTTGCAGTAATGTTGTGCTGGCTCATAGAGCTGTGCCATTGTGCAGTTATGGAGTGCATCTCGCTGAGGAGTTTGCCGTTTGTTTGTTGTGTGTTGTGACGCAGCCAATCACAAACATAGACCGGTCGTTTTCTCCCCACCGCTGGATGTTGTGTTGCGTTGTGGTAGTGCTCTAGTGCTGTAGTGGGGGCGTGTGATCTCTTACATCACACCCTTGTTTGTTTGTTCGTGTTTTGACATGACCCTTTTCTTTCTTCCTTCGCTCTCAGACGTGTTGGAGCCTGATCTTCCTGCTACAGTTGCGTTTGCTTGCTTTTTTTTGTTTGCCCAGAGGGCCTCAATTTCCACCACTTCCTCAACACACACACACACACACACACACACACACACACACGTGTAATCTTCTTCAGTTCTTCAGGTTCTTCGTATCTGATCTCTTTTGTTCATCGGTTGCGTTTGAGTGTCCGTGCTTCCTGCCTTGTTGCCTTGTTGCCTTGTTGCTGCTGCAGCGTGAGCGTCTGTGTATAGCGATATGTTCGTCAGCCATGTGTTGTTGTTGCAAAGGTACCTCGTGTTGTGCATGCGCGTGCTGTCGTCTTGCTCGTGTGTTCTTCTTCTGATCCTTGTTGCCCATGCAAATCAAGGGTCTTAAGCCACTGAGTTTTCTTTTCCCGTGCCATTATTTGCACCCTGGTCTCCTTTTCAGCCCTTCCTTTTTGTTGTTACAATGGCGAACTGTCACACACCACTCCTGACCTGCTCGTGAATGGCACTTGGCTGTCTGTCCTCTTTACGGTAACAGCCGCTCTCCCCAGCCCTCTTTCACTCTTCTTGCGTCTTGCTTCTTTACTTGCCGATGTGACTGGTCCTTTTAATCTTCTTTTCTCGCCTTTTTGCCCACCACCGTGTTTGGTGCTTGTGATCTTGAGCCGAAGCATGGGTGTGCCCCCGACTCACTGCACATCAACATGCATGAATAGACACTCTTTGAACCTTCCCCGTGACACATTGTGAACACCATCACGAGGAGGAAAGGTTCGCACGTCCAAAACGCAGGAGTGTGACGACGCGAAATCAAACGTGTGTGTGCATTGCTTCCTTGTGCATGGGGCTGAGGCGAAACTTGCAAGGCTGGTAAGCTGACGTGCATGGGGCTGACGCTCTTGAACTACAACGGCACTCTCCACAGCCACGACACTCATTGCACGTGGAGGGTTGGCAACGTGCGAAGCCATGTCAATGGCGATAGCAGTCTATTGATGGGGTTGGTTTACAAACAACATGAAACACAGACACACACACACACACATGGCGACGTGCTTCTACTTTGTTCGCGTGACGCCACTGCTATTGGTTGGCGTCACTGCGCTCAACAGCAACACCAGCACCACCAAGCGACGTGGTCCAATACCGCAACCCCTTCTCCTTCAGAGCAGCAAACAGCTTTGCCTTCACGTCCTCGCTTGCGTGCGGGCGAAGAAGAACATATGCACAGCCGCCACCACCAGCACCCGTGAGTTTGGCAGCCAGCCCGAGCGACGAGGCAAGGCGAACGACCTGAAAGGGGGGGGGGCAAAGGAAAGGGTGTGACAGATGCGTGCGTGTGCATGCGTGAGTAACAGAGATGGTATGTGTGTGTGCGTGTGTGTGTGTGTGCGCGCGCTAGTGAGTGAGATAAAAAAGTGTGCGTATGTGCACGTGTGTGCGAGAAGGCTGCAACACGACGTTGGCATGTGCGAACGTGCGAATGCACCAGTGCTCGTCTGTGCTGCTGACTCACGTCGTCAAGGGCCGGGTGGCCAACTCCAATGGCGTTCAGCATGTGGTGGTTCATCGTCATCAGCGTCTACACACACACACACACACATACACACATACACACACACACACACACACACCAAAGAAAGGGGATCAGGATCGGGAAAACGACGGCTTCTTCACGTGTGCGTGTACATGTGTCTGCGTGCAGGAAACGACACACACACTCACACACTCACACACACACACTCTCTCTCATAGCCACAAAGTAACCGCAGCTGCAATAACACCACCACCACCACCACCACCACCACAGGCCATGCCAGTTAAACCCTGCTCGCAACGGACCTCCAGCTTGGTGAAGAGCGGGTCTGTGTCCGATGTTTCTGCAAGCTGCTGGCTGATGTCCAGGAACGTCTGTGAAAGATGGCCCATGGAGTCGAGCAGTGGATCCATCACGGCAGGAAACTGCAAGAGTGTGTGTGTGCGCGTGTGTGTGTGCGTGTGTGTGTGCATTTGTGTGTGTGTGTGTGTGTGATGTGTGTGTGTGTGTGCATGTGTGTGTGTGGAGGGGGCGGTGGTTTGTTGATGAGAGGAGGGCCGGGAACAGCAAGCAAAAATCATTTCGCACACACTTCAAGCACGATTCCTCTTTTCAACACAACGGGTACAATACCCAACGCAAAACGTTCAGATCACACACATACACACACGCAGCGTGTGTGCACCTCGTGCTTGCGTTCTCTGACGCCGCTGACGAGTGCCTTTGTTGATCGCGGCACACCCGTGTCCACCAGCACAACCTCAAGACTCTGGAACCTGCACAACAGTCAACATGCATCGACGAAGGTGTAAGCTGGCGTGATGTGTGTGTGTGTGTGTGTGCTTGCGCGTAGGTGCTTGCGTGCACGTGTATGTGGGCGTTGAGGGCGTTGCACAAACATCACGCATGCACACACAGTTGCACAAACATCACGCATGCACACGTGTACACATGCACACGTACGTGGACACGCGATTGAATTTGCCCGACGCAAACGACACCGCACCGCCTGAAAGCGAACGAAGGACGACCAGTGCTCATGTGAGATGGTACGATTGGGGAGAGGAACTTCAAGCTCGCGTTGTCACGTGATATCAGAAGCAGCACACGCACGCGCACACACACGCACGCATACACACACGCGCGCACGCACGAACACACACACGCACACATACACATACACACACACACACGCACGCACGCGCGCACACACACACACACATGCGCGCACACACACAATTACACGCACCAAAGCAGCTGATGGTGTTGTCGAGACCGCTGGGCTTGCCATGGATGATGGACTCTGACAGGAACGCCCACGCGTTGATGGCGTCCAGGTCCGCAGCATTGGCTGCACGCAAATACAGCACGGATTCAGGCAAGAAAGAAAGGCACATGGATGGTCAGGTAGCGGCAGGGAGAGAGAGAGAGCGACAGAGCGAGAGAGTGAGAGTGAGTGAGTGAGTGTGCGTGTGTGCGTGTGCGTCTGGTACAACGGTAGGTAGGAAGGCAAGCGTGGGCGAGCTAAGCGCAAGGTATCCATAAGTACACAACTTGACACACAAGCACACACATGCACATACACAAAGTATGCATGTCTATGAGAGCATCAGCATGCAGCAAGCTACCGACGGACCGGCGTCAATGGGGCGGGTGAGGGCAAGCATGGATGACGCCAGGCAGACGCTGTACGCAGCGGAGGATCCAAGGCCAGCGCCAATGGGAAGATCGGACTTGACGTTGATCGTCACCCCAGAAGGGCTTTGCTCGTCTTGCTCCTGTGTGGATGTGGCCTTGACAATGCCGCAATACAGGTACAAGAGGGCCTCCACCGCGAACCTGCGCGACTCCAATCCTTCGCTCAACTCGTCGCGGGCAGCAACGAGGGTGTGGATGGCCTGGTACAGGGGTTGGTCCAATTGTGTGCTGGAAGCGCCTTCAGCTGACACCTGGGGCAGATCCGACAGCGGGAAGTCGATGTCAATGTTGAGCTCCGCCAGGCTGAGCTTGACTTTTGCATCGTCGTTCAGTGTGAGCACCAGACTCGCACGCAGATCCAGGCTCGCAGCAACAGCCAGCTACAGTCGCAGGGGGCGTTGTGTGTGGGGGGACGAGTAAGACGTTAGCACAAGCGGGGAGATAAATGCAGTCGTTTGCTCCAAGCTTGTCACATAAGTTCGGTGACGTCTGCTTGGCACACACACATACACACACACACACGCACACACACACACACACTCACACGCGCGCACACACACACACACACACACACACACACACACACACACACACACACACACACACACACACACACACACACACACACACGCACAACTGACTTTGCCGTGGACAACGGCGTGCTCTCCATGAAGGATGAGCTTCCCTGGTGCCGATGCTCTGATCTCAAGCATGACTGTCAAAGGTCACGAAGCAGTGGCCTGGTGGCAACGAAGGATCAGGTCAGTCTCCCAGCACACCACAGCACAACGCAGCACAACACACAAAACAACCACTGTTGGTGTTTGTCTCCCACGCACGTTGGGGTGTAGTGTACTATTTCTATGCCAATTGTACTACACAGAGGACAACGATGGATGGTCGCTTTGAGATCGGCAAGGAGATTGGGAAGTGAGTGCGTCAGCGGTTGTGACTTGGGCCTGGTGTTGTTGTTGTTGTTGTTGGTGGTGTTGTTGGTGGTGTGTATGGCTAGCTCGACTGGTTTGCGTTGGTGGCGGTTGGTGGGTCATCGTCCTATGGAGATATGAGATGGTTAATGTTGGTGGCGGTGCTGCTGCGAAAGAGTGCAGAATGTATCGAGATGTGTTGACGGAGGCCAAGGCTGGTTGCCAAGCTGTGGCCATCACCATAGGCTCGGTTCGGTGCGAATCAAAACTTGCGTGGGGACACCAGTGGGCTCGCCTGTTCACAGCATGTGTGCGATTGTGACTTCTCGTTGCTCCCTTCTTCTGCTTCTTCTTCTCTTGCACTATTTCGCTGACGTGTGACCTTAGGGGCGCCTTCTCCGTGGTGCATCGTTGCAAGCGTCTGGAGGATGGCAAGATCCTCGCCGTGAAAGTCATCGACAAGGCCAAGATCAAGAAGCCGCAGGATCTCCAATATGAGATTGACATCCTCAAAGAGTGCGTTTGTGTGCGTGTGTGCGCGCGTGTGTGTATTGTGTGTATTGTGTGCGTGTGCGTGTGTGCGCGCGTGTGTGTATTGTGTGCGTGTGTGTACTTGCATGCTTTGGCCGCCTGAGTTGGCGCTGCGCTGCGTGCTGGTGTGGAAGCTCACATATGCTCCCACGCACATATGGCGC